GATCCTCCAATTCGTTTCGAAAATGATTGTACGAAGGTGCTGGCCTGTGCTTATCGAGAACCCAAGTTAATATTAAAATGAAACAATGAAGACTCTGTCGTAGAATTTTCCAGCTCTACGCAGCTCGCAATCAAAGAGACTGTAGTCTTCCTTGTACTCGTTTATACATCGACGTCCAAACACTTCTGAATTAAATATAAAACATGTGCTTAAAGAATATGAATACACACTGCAGCACATCTGTTGTCTATAGATACTTATGCAAAATTTCTTTGTGTACTCACTTTGACAGTTTCTTTATTATCTAGGTTGATTACTAAAATGACCACACTTACAAAAATGTACAAGAAAAACAAATTTCTCTCTCCGACAGACTCAGATATTTTAAGAAAWTGHCCCTTTTGCCTKKTTAAACCGGATACTATTTGACTGTTTCATGGTACATGTGAACTTGTTTTTTTAAACAAAATTCTTGTTTGACACATTAAAACCAAGACATTCAATGAAACATATTTCGTCTATTGACCTTTTCAATCATTGATACGTTTAAGATTACAAACTCCATTTGGCTGTTTGTTGAAGTTTCTATTGTTTGCTTTAATTGAACTCCCGAGATATCGATTGTTGCGGTTGAGGCGAAGTGGTGTTTACTTGGGGATTGATTGCGTTTTGATACTTGCGGTGATTTTACATAGTTTAATCTGGCTAGACTGGGATCCAGAACCGAAGTTAAATTAATAAAATATAACGAAAAAACAAACTATATTCATAAATCAGATACTCAAAATTCTATTTGTCAAGTAATTATAATTCAATTCATCGTATCGTTCTTTATTCGTCTACACAATCAATCTTCGAGTTGTGTTGCCATTGGCGGCTTGATTGTATCTTGTATTGAGCCGCCTTAAAATAATAATAATTTGAAAATCGTTTCAGCTCAGTGATTACTAGCTACTTTGGTATTTTGTTTGGAGTTGTATTCATTGGACTGTGAAATAGTTGATTGGAGCAAACAGGCAAAAAGTGCTGAGAATCTTTTAAAAATTGCTGAATGTTGAAATAACTTCATTCATTCCACATTTGAAGTGTTTATTAGTGAACAGGAAAGCAAACATACATGTAACTAAAGCAAAGTACGACAATGTTTTTCCCTAAGGGAATAAGTTTTTGTCATCCAAAATGAACATGGAAGCATGGAAAACATACAGCCAAAACTTTGGACATACAGAAATTATCTATAGATGAAACTTGTCTCGTTCGTGTTCAGTTCAGGTCGTTTTACACCAATGTTTTGATCGTTTTCTGCAAAATTAAAACTAATCTTCATGCAATTTAGAAAAACAGGACTTCAGTAAGACAACAGACGTACCTGAAGGTAGCAAAGCAAAATCAGCTCAAATAAATAAGGAAAGGAGATTCCCATATACTTTTATCTTCAAATGAAATCCGTTCACACATTTGAACAGCCATGTAATGTTGTGTTCATTATAAATCTAAACTCAAATTGGTAATATTTAAGGCAAGAAATACATTTACAATGTAGGACAATTTTGTATGGAGTATCCATGGTAACATTTTATTTTCACATGTGAAAGATATCGCTCAAGATATTTCTTGGTATTTCTTTGAAATTTATGTAATAAATAATGTTCAACTTTCATGGTGACCATGTATTCTTAGGAAAGATTAACATT